GATCCTGCAGGCGAACCTGCAGATACTGCCCGGCCGTGGTGTATGAGGCTGCGAGCTCGGGGGAATCCGAGACGTCGATTGCGATGTGGAAAAGCGACTCGGCGGCGGCGGAGACTTCAATCAGCGGCGCGGGTGTCCAGAGCGCGGTGTCGTGGCGGGAGACGGCGGCGGCTGAAGCGGCGTGGCAGCGGAAGCGATTGGAGAGGAGGCGGAGGGGTTTGAGCCTCGAGAGGATCATGGATGGTCGGAGGAATGATTGGGTGCGGTGGGGAGCATGGGATCTGCGGTGTGCAAATCTAAGGAAAAGGAAATACAAGCCCGGTTTTATTTTGTAACAATACCGAGCTGAGCCGATGGATTCAGTGCGATTTGGTTCGGTTTCTACACTTCCATTTGTGGTGCAGTGTGAACTTTAAAAAATCGTATAAAAATTCGATGATGTTCCAAACGGTGCGGTTTAACCGAACCACACCGAACAGTTTAAAACTTGTCATTATGTTTGTATTGTAGGCATAACAAATATACAACACCTCACTCTTTTTGTTTGGAAAGTAACAACAGTTAACAACATCACAATTTACAATTAAACTACTTTGATTTTGACAAAATTGAGTCCTTGCAACATGATTTGTATGTAGCCTTTTCTTAATTGCGGTTAACCAAAAAACCCTAGTTTGTCTTCTCTTGTGTTGCGGTTCGGTGAACTAATTTTAGTTCTTGAACTTTCGGTTTTTTGCGATGCGGTTCAATTTTTCACCGGATCACACTGTTACTTACCCTCTTTTATCCAAACCCTTGAGAGAGAGAGAGAGAGAGGTCCTTTTTTAATAATAAAGAATACTTTTCTCTAATGTCCTCTTAGTATTGTTTGTGAATAAATTATTCTTGAGATAAAATTTCAATATAATTTTGCAGAAAACTTTTACTACTTAGTATTGTTTCTGAATAAATTATTCTTGAGATCAAATTTCAGTATAATTTTGCAGAGAACTTTTATTACTTGATTTAAGAATTTCCACTTATTTAATTTATTTGCAATGTATATTTACAACAATTCAAATGTCACAAAAATCCATCTTAAAATGTATGGAATGGAAAAATGTAGTCAAAAGTTGTATCTTCAAAAAGCATAATATGTTAATTAATAGGAAAGAGAGCGAAATAAAAATAATAATATAACATTTAGTACAGTATCAATGTTACATGAATGTTTTTTATTTTTATGTTTTTGCCATAAACTATTGAAATGCTCTTAAACTGAGTTTGATTGCTATAATGGATTGAGTCTGATATAACATTTTTTTGAGAAAATGACACTATGTTTTTTTTTTTAAATAATATTTACATAATAGCATGACTTATTAATTATATCAAAAAAATATATTCTGTTTTCATTGTCTACACCATAATGGCTATTGTTGGTTTATTATTTGTCTTTTTTTTTATCTATTTTTTATTATTTTATATTATTTCTCCAAATTTTCCCAACAGTGTTTGCACGACTATTGCCCCGAGGCCCCCGACTGTGTATGTCCAACCTTCATCACCACCATTCTCCCACCGCCTCCCTTCGTCACCACTATGTATCCAAAATCGGTGATCCAAAATTATTATTTTCCTCCATGTTGAGAAAAATCAGACAATGTTGGTGATGTTTTACGGCTGGTTACAACTCGTACCACATGCAGCCGCTCGGCGGGGATGAACGTGAGCTCGAAACCTGGCGGCCCCGCAGCAGCAGACAACGGCTACGAGTAGGGGCGGCCGGACAATGCGTATTATTGGGGTCGACGAAAATCAAAATCCACCAGATACGAACTGAAGTCTCTCTATTGTGTTGTTGCTTTATGGGGTCGACGAAACTCAAAATCCACCAGGTCCGAACCGAAGCCTCTTTTGTGCTGCTGCTTTATGAAATTAGGGTGTTTTGGGTGTTTTAATGATTTTATGATAGAAAAAGCAGGAAAGGCACGAAGAAAAGAAAAAAGAATGAGAAAACTGAATAGTCAAGTAGGATCCAATTTGAGAACTCCTTCACCAACACTCTTTTCCACGGCGCTAGCTGCTTCACCTCCCTCAACGGCGTCGTTCAGCAGCTCGAATCCAATTTGGGTGTCTTCAAGCTCCCCAAATTCCATCTCGTTCCTTCCTCAAACTTCGCTGCACACCAGCCCGCAAGCGGTTACACTTCCGCCCAACGTTGTCGATCTTGTCTTACTCTCCGCCTTCACCTCCTTCTACACCTGCGTTGGCGGCCGCGGTGGCGAGCATCCATAGTTTCAACTCCATTGTCCAAGAGAAGTGGGTTTATGATTTTAGGGAAATGGCATACGTAGTAAGTTTTGCTTTTGATCGAGGTTCATATGGTCAACCATATTTACTTTTGAGGATAGGTTTTTGAATTCCATATTTACTTTTGAGGATAGGTTTTTGAATTCCATTATTTAAACTCTGATCAAATAATCCCAAATCCAACGACAATTGTACTGTGCATCGCGGGCAATATCATACCTCACGGGCCAATATCTCAAGAACAAACATCAGATAAATCTACCATCACATCGCGGGCAATATCATACCTCACAGGCCAATATCTCAAGAACAAACATCAGATAAATCTACCATCACATCGCGGGCAATATCATACCTCACGGGCCAATATCTCAAAAACAAACATCAGATAAATCTACCATCATACCTCACGGGCCAATATCTCGAGAACAAACATCAGATAAATGGTAGATTGGAGACGCAATCCAGTCCTATTTGGGCTAACAAACACATCCGTAATATAATAACAAGTTGAGTGATATCAAGTCCAATGAGCTCAAACCAATCATGCTGTAATTTCTCCAATTTGAGATTTGTTTTACTTTATTTATTTATTTTTGGGTTGATCAATTATATAATCCCAATATGGTATTATCAGGAATGTTTTGAAGCCTGTCAGGCTAATGAGATGCGGCTCCACCCAAAAACACAGTATATCACTCAATGAAGGCACAGAAGAAAAAATACAGGCGTGCTGTCTAAAAACCATCTTATTGGCTCAAACGACAAAAGAAAAGGAGGGGCCTTCTGACAGAAGGCACATATCCGTAAAACATTAGTATCATTGCCTGCACAACGCATAAAAACAGTGAAGGCGAAATTTGTTCGCCCAATAGAAGTAACATCTCAGATTTTGGCATAGCCAAGAGCTATCTTATTTTCGCGATTATCCATATAGCGGAACAAAACACGAAGGAGTCGCTGAAAGAAGTGTTTGACATATAAATCTAAGCTGCGGATTCTTTGGCAATCTTCTCAGCCTTGGCAATCACCTCATCGATACCTCCAACCATGTAGAACGACTGTTCCGGAAGATCATCGTATTTCCCATCCAAGACTCCCTGTTGCAAAGTGAATGCAAGAGTTTTGATAGTTAAAAGAAAATAAGATAAAGAATGAAATATTAAAAAAAAAAAATAATGTGTGTGTACCGTAAATAAGGTATTTACTATTAGCAGAAAAAAAAATAAATAAATAAATAAATAGTTGGAGAAACCATCAAATGTGTGTGTTACATATTTCAAAATGATAAGCCAAACAATTTTTATTTTATAAGTACACAGAATTGAAGGGGCAATCTGTACAACAGATAAGTGCTTGTAATACTCTCATCAGGGTTAACTTAAACGTTAAAACCTCGAGGGTATCTGTACAATCGGTAACTTAAACCCACCCTCTAGTGATGAGATAAAACCGCAAATCAGACATTATAATCAGGCTAAGTATTTTGGAAGAATCAGTTCACTAAATCCTCTAAAAGAAGAGTCAACTTTTAGCCAACTATTTTGGAAGAATCAGTTCACTGAATCCTCTAAAAGAAGAGTCTTAACTTTTAGCCTAACTATTTTGGAAGAATCAGTTCACTAAGTATTTTGGAAGAATCGGTTCACTAAGTCCTCTAAAAGAAGAGTCTTTAACTTTTAGCCTAACTAGAGCATCAACTCTTCCAATATTAATAACAAACAAGAAAAATGAAAAAATCAGTCACTTTCTACACCAGAACGTACCCTATCCTTTTTTAAGTATTAATATTAATGTACTACTATATTCCAGAAACATACCTTTCCAATACTAGAGCATCAACTCTCCTACTATTACATAAACACAAGACCAAAATGTAAACCAAGTATCAGGCACCTTCCACCCAAGAGATATACCTTCTACAAATATTGAGAAAAGAAAGAAAAAGAAAAGAACTCCACTATTTCAAGTAAAAATTCAGTGACAATAATACTTGCACATGCTTTCAATGTATAAATATCATCATACCTGGAAGCTGTTAATACTCTCCTTCAACTCAACATACTTCCCAGGTGCACCCGTGAAAACTTCTGCAACATGGAAAGGTTGGCTCAAGAAACGTTGGATTTTCCGAGCACGGGCAACGGTCAATTTATCATCTTCACTAAGCTCATCCATTCCCAGAATGGCAATAATATCCTGAAGATTCTTGTAGTTCTGAAGAACCTTCTGCACACCACGGGCAGTGTTGTAGTGCCCTTCTCCGAGGATATGAGGTGAAAGCATGCGGGATGTTGAATCCAGAGGGTCCACAGCAGGGTAGATACCAAGCTCCGAAATCTGTAACACAACAATACCAAAGAAAATTTGTGGTTAACTACAATATTTAACCACCACAAGGCCTTCCCTACAAGATTTATTGATATATGTATGCACATACAAGAAAAAAATAGTAAAGTTCAGCATAAAATAAACTCATATTGAGGTCAGTACTCTTTTATATAATAAATCAATAGACAGGTGTTTGAGATTTAGAAGAATATATTAATTGAGGTATTCATAATCTTCAAAGATATTGGGTTATTGTAGTTACATCAAATCTCAAAGTGTATGTCTCATCGTTTGCTAAAGAATGCATATACATATATTGCACCTGTCTCGATAACACAGTTGTGGCATCCAAGTGAGCGAATGTAGTAGCAGGAGCGGGATCCGTCAAGTCATCAGCAGGCACATATATGGCTTGGACAGATGTAATAGAACCCTTCTTAGTCGTAGTAATACGCTCTTGAAGACCTCCAAGATCTGTAGCCAGTGTAGGTTGATATCCGACGGCCGAAGGAATACGTCCAAGCAAAGCAGACACTTCTGAGTTAGCCTAAAAATGTTTAAACAAAATGACATATTACCAATATGTGAAACAAGAACAGTAATATAAACCCAAAT